ACTGTGATGCACTAGGCCACAGAAGACCACGAATTTTAGGTGCATATCAACTAGAGGATAAAGACCTTCAAAAGCCTCCTTCGCACCGATAGAGCTGGGCGAATGTGGAAAGTCGATGTGCGATAGAATGTAGAAGCAGTGGTTAAAACTGTTCACAAGAAAAAATAGTGTTGAGATATTGTATATAAAATAAATTAAATATATGTTTACAAAAAAATTCGATAAAAATAATGTTTTAGGTTAAAATGATTGAAAATTTTTTAAATGAATAAATTTTGAAGGAATATAGTTTTTAAACGTATTTAATTATGAGGACGACTTAAATTTGAAATTGGAGTACAGTAACGTAGTAAATTGTTGGCAACTTCTTCTTAAATTAAATCTTATAGGATATAATAGTACAAAGCATTTTATATATATAAAACATTTTATTTATATCCTGCAATTTTAAATTGACTGTAAGGTTATCTTAGTTTATTTAAGATTTAACAATTATGTCTAATTTTTTTTTTTATGTATTTGCTTTTCGCTAAAGTCTTCAATTTCCTTGATTTTTCCTCCTAAAATTTCATTACATTTCATTAGTCCTTCAGCTAAAAAGGTATTCATTAGATACAAAATTTAATTTAATTAATTTTTCTCAAGTTTTAACCCGACAATACGTTTAGCTCGTTTAATCCCAAACATCAAACAACAAATCAAGCGCAGAGGATCAACAATGACATAACCAACAATAATCAATCAGAAACAATTCCCAGAGTGAAACATACTCAAGTGTATGAGTAACTCAATACCGAAAATTTTATTGCAGAGGAGGGGGAAAAAAGAATGCGATAGAAAAAAGAGAAAAATTTTGGTAAAAACAAAGAATGCAAAACTTAGTAACAAATTTGATAAACAACAAAGGCAAATGTTGTTAAATTGTTATGAAAATTGTTTGTTGGCTCACACTTTGAACATACAACGCACACCCAAAGGACTTAATATGAAAGTCCTTTCGGCTGAGTGTGTGTGTGTGTGTGTGTTGTTAAGTAAGTAAAAGTTGTTGTGCTCTGTTTACTTGGCTGAATATGTAAACTACTGCTTAAATGTGTAACTTAAAAGTTGCCAACGAAGTTTGCTTAAGTCGAAATAAACTTCTCACAAAAGTGGTAAGTTGGAGATCAAACTGTCTCAGGGTCGCAAGATTTGTACTTTGGCAGGTTTTTAAAAAATCTTTACAAATTCTGACACCAATGCATATTTGGGTTGTGTTTTTTATACAAAACGATCATTGTTATATAAAATTAACTTATACTCTTTCGTGAAGGCATTATGAAGAACATAAGAAACTGAAACCAAAATGTTTAAATTAGTCTCAAATAATATATTTTTTTATTTATTAAACAATATATAAAAATACACCTTCATTTTAAAATCTGAAAAAATTATTATACACTTGCCAAATCCTACCACCTGAGACAATTTGCTGCTTTTATATGAAGCAATGGTAAAATTCAAATAAAAAAATTGCAAGTAAATACTTTCATTAAAAAAAAATGGTGCCTTTATTTGTTGGTACCCAGAAAATTGTTGTACTATTATTACGAATACCAATACGTGTCGGACTCTTACAAAATTACTACAAAATTATATATTTTAAAATAGCACTTAAATAAAGGATTGAATAATTCAAGGTATGTATTGATAATATTCTATATCTCTAGTTTATTATATCAGCGGTACCTACAACTAAATGCTAGAATGCAGAACTATTTTCATCGCAGAACATATCCTCTGGATCTGTCCGGATGTCTCAAACTCAAACAAAATATTTTGGACAATATTTTTGAAGGACTGAAACTCATCTCTGATATTGGAGTGAATTAGTTTATAAAATTCGCATATGACAATCACACCTTAAGTAATGTATACTGTCACTAACTGCTTGTACGATGTATCGATCGCATACTATCAAATACAGTTATCGAATAGCAATCCGCTACCCATAACGCAATCAATATATCAATATAATTCTACATAGGATTTATTATTTAATTGTTATCTTATATAGGTAATCATTTTAAATTTTGTAAAAACGTGCATTTTTAAAGCACTTATGTGCTTTGAAATGTGTTCAATAAAAAATGTGAAAAAAAACTGGCATTTATTTTGACTACAAAAAGCCACCGTTTTGCAAAAACTAAATATTTAAATAATAAAAACTAAACAATAGAACTGCCACAATGTCGCTTAGAAAATAGTCTGCAGAATGCTTCTTATAGTCCACAAATTATTCATAAAAACATAGTTTACTCTTTATAAACAATACACATGTAGACACACGTATATGAGTGGATCAGTAAAAAACACATATTTTTATTTTCATCATAAATAACGAAGCTTGTTACACATTTTTTTGTGCATATCATTTTCCCAGAGTTGGCAGCTCTGGCCATGATATTTGCGTTTTTGCTTTGGAAATTTTGTTGTGCACACTTAAGTGATTTCTGCTTCCGATTTCCGTTTCTGTGCGGGCTTTTGTTTCAATTCGTTGCGTTACGTTACGTTACGTTACGTTAGTTTAAGTTACGTTGATGATGTGGACGCAAATGTGCACTTATGCGACACGAGCAAAACAATTTATCAATTCGTAGATGTGCGACTTTGCGGGTAACAATCAAAACTTTTTATGCACGCTTGCATGTCGTACGCATGAATGTAGTTTGTTTTCCGAAAACTTAAAAAATGATTTGCAATTTTCTTAAAATATTTTTTCTTTCTATTCCTGAAATTTATTACACACCCCGACACCACTTTTTCTTCTCCTTC